TCTTAGTACTATGGTGAAAGTACATTGTATGAACGTCCCATACCAAGTTCATATGGAAGTAAGGTCTAATGAATAAAAGTGATAATATGTGAAGGCTCAGAGAAAAAATAATAAATATATAAATATAATGAAGAGCAATGTATGACTTGGGACTTTATAAGAGATATTACTATGGAGTTGCATGGTACTTCTGTACGACGACATGGTCTACGGTAAACGTGGAACCATGAATGGATATGTCTTGAGTGGGGGACATATCATCGATAGCTGGTGGTAGTTGGCGTCTTAGTGTGTTGCACTATGATACGTCGACTGATCATCTGACTTTGGGGAGTCTGGTGGTGGCTTGCGTCTTAGTGTATTCCACTATGATACGTTGGCTATTACTTGACTGGGGTGGGGGTCCGTTGGTGGTTGGCGTCTTAATGTTTACGCTATGATACGTCAACTATCATTCGGATCGTGAAAGAGTATGTTTGGACACTTCGTGTGTTCTGAGTATATTCTAAACTTTGGAGCCAAAGTTGATTGGAGTTGTATTGGTGTGGTGTGGTGTGAGGGTGTGCCACCTACGCGATAGTCACATTGATGCGTGCGGCTATATGCAGTAAAGCGTCTTGTGGTAGTTGCGGGGTGATCTGCGCCTAATATCATTACATCGTATGATTCTGGTTGACGGAGGTTCGAGGTGATGATGTCTGCTGTGTATGCGGATAGGCTGTATGTTGGCGTGTTGACCTGCGATAGTTGTATTGATGCATGTTGCATTTGGTGACATTGCGTCTTGCGACATTTGCTTGGGAGACGACGCTATTCATAATGGCCGAGTCTGCGTCTCGGTTTGATGCACATCTCAGTAGATTTGTCCAAGTGGGGTTCCTGATGACGGAACTGCAGACTGTCTGACCTCCTGTATACGTTTTAACATAATTAACGAATCTCAGTAAAGTTCCCACCGTTCGAACGAATAATGGCAACTTGCTGGTGGGTGAGACAAACTTGATCGAAAATACATTATACTCAACGTCAGAGACACTGACAAATAAATATATGTTGCCAATTATAAACCCTTCTGATGGCTAAACATAAAAATTACAAATATGGCTATATCTGACTATTTCAATGGTTGGTGGAGCATATGCGTTTACCTCATGTGGATGGTAGCTGGCGGGAGAAAACCTCTCAAGGCTGCGGCGATGCCGTGCAACGTTTTAACCATACCCTTCGGGTGAGCAGTGACTCATAACGCGCTCTGCGACGAAATGTCGTGCTAACCTTTTTAATGGTGGTGATGCCAAAACACTAACAATCACGTCTGCAGTCGCGGCAATCTGGCAAAAGTGGTGGCGCTTACGGAGGGCTTATTATATCATAGGACCTGAGTGCCTGATCTTCAACACATGCCCAAAACCGTATTGACGTACATTCACGAAGACTGGATTTGTCGTTGTCTTGTATGACGTTTACACGCATTGACATGCGCGACTTCGGTCAAAGTTTGTGCTTACGCACTGCCAAGGGGCCAATCCCTCTTTATGCTGGTAAAACAGCTTTGCAGTGGACTTCGGTCCTTTCCCCAACTTTTTGTCCCTCTTCTGGGGGGGGGCGCAATATGTTGGTTGGCGCTCACCGCACACGGCGTTGGTGAGTGTTTTCATGGAGCCGTGTGCCTTCCCTACATTTTTTTTAAAATGTGGGGGAGCTGTTGACTTGTATCGGGTATGTAAAATTGATGTGAGCCCTTTTCAAGAGAGAAGGGATAATAGTTGAAAATTATATTATGAGCCCTTTACAAGCGTGAGAGGGAGTATACTATATACTCTGAGCCCGTCTCAAGCGAGTCGGGATTAGTTGTTAAGAAAGCAATCTGACATTATCTCTGGCTTATACCACGACTAGTGAATATTTATCTATCCAAGATACACCTAAAAGAATCAAGTTACTAAATAAACACAACGTAAATGAGGTCCTACCGAATATGACGATCACAATAATATTTATACGGCTAATTATTACCTTTAGAAAGATCCTATAGAAAGATCAATAATTTATCCTGGTCACGTAATGATGTTATAAGATTTATTCATATAACGGGGCAAAAATATATATAAGTTTAATTATATGTATGCATAAAGGGGGGGTTCAGTTACACAATGAATAGACAACGTATTTTGACGATAATGATTCTGAATTCTGATATGTAGGTTCAAATTCCTACAACAAACACAAAACCATTTTTGGTTCATAATAATAATTGTTTTCCTAATTTTATATTATATTATAATACAATTTTATCCACTTACAGTTTACTAAAACTATCTGGTACATAAAACTTCTAAATTAATCTCAATTCACCAATACAAAACATGACAATTTAAATAATACCATGGTTTGTTATGAAGTTTTTCTTTTAAAATATATTTAAACTTACCCCGAATTCCAGACACAATAGAGAAAATTACGACCAAATTTAATTTCAACATTTTTATGAGATTTTCATACGCGTAAGGATCAATTAATGGAATGAAAGGGTTCCTATAGAAAGATCAATAAATTATCCTGGTCACGTAATGATATATGATTTATTCATATAACTGGGCAGAAATATATATAAGTTTATATAATTATATATGCATGAGGGGGGGTTCAGTTACACTATGTACAGGAGGATACACTCCTACCCCTGCCACAGTCTTTTAAGTAAAGGGTGTTGAACAGCACGCAGCCTTCATGTTTTATCTATAAGTCGTAAATGCATCGTTCCAGTAATAGAATAGAATAAAACGTGATGAAAATATACATGTTTTCCCTCCAAACTTACAGTAAGTATTTCGAAAATATGCAGGTTTCCTCACGATGTTTTCCTTCACCGCTGAGCACGTGATAAATTATCAATAAGCTTGGATAAATATGAATGTCAACTGCTCCGTCTGTGCACCTAAAAATAAAATCCAGAAAAAGGGGTAGATTTACGTAATTTATATAATTTTTGCTAGTTTTTAATTTTTTCTGTGCGAGTGTCAGGCTAACATGAACTATATACCTATATATCCTTTTGTCATAGGCATCAATAATAAAGGATTTTCGCAAATTATAAATCAATCAAAGTTCGATTCGAAAATCTGTAAGTTAAAAAAATGTATACCTATTTATTTTTTAATTTCGGGGCTAAAAGGTTCATCTGAATCGGGAAAGCGATATTAGGAATATGAAATTTATTTATAAATCCGCCACATAATCCACCATAAGTAAAATTCATTTTAATATTTGTCGTGAAAATTTTAAAAATTACATTATCATATCATAGCATAAAATAAAGTCGTCCCGCTGTCTGTCTGTCCCTATGTATGCTTAGATCTTTAAAACTATGCAACGGATCTTGATGTGTTTTTTTTTTACTAGATAGAGCGATTCAAGGTTTATATGTATACATTGCACCCGTGCCAAGCCGGGGTGGGTCGCTAGTTAAAGAAATAATCCTAAAAATCCATATGACTTGTCGCGTCAACTTCGCTACAAGATCAACGTAATTACATTAGTAAGTACATTATTAAATAAATAATTCTAGAAATACAAATATTGTTTGTCATGTAAATTGAGTAGTGTCCAAAAATTGTACATCACTTTAAATACGTATATCATTGGAAATCATCTGTCTCGAGCCCAAATAAGATGGAAATGAAAATCTTTAATTTATTTCCAACTTCACTTCCCGTTTCACAGTTGTAAGCACGCTTACCTGAATTTGAAACGATACAATTTGGAGTGTTAATGAACAGAATAACTTCCTAAGTAGGAAACAAAATGTTAGTCTGTTTTGCAAAATTTACGCTTTGATAATCCTTTTATTCTCCGCGGCCTAAATGTTTCCATTGAACAATTCATTCCTTTTCTCTTTTGTTTCGTTTATCAATTCGCATTCAGTAAGACAAAAATTATTAAACTATGTAATAACGTTTCAATACATCTGATTTCTATTTTGACAATGCTATTATAATGTAACAACTTGGCTTGGTCATAAGCCAAGTTATTCCAAATTATCCCAAGGGGGTATGGGAAATTACAGGAAAGTTCTATATGAAATAAAATTCGATTTTATGTTAATTTTAATTAAAGGTTTGTTTTTATGCATTGTATAAAATCACCAGGAGTTTTAGGTTTCATAGACGCCATAAGATTAGTTACGGTTTTTCTTATCGATTTTTTGTAGATATAAAGTAAAAAGTAAAGTAACAGCCTATACATGTCCCATTGCTGGGCACAGGCCTCCTCTATACAGAGGGTGTCAGGGCATAGTCCACGCGGCCCCACTGCGGATTGGTGGACTTCACATATCTTCGAAATATATATTTTTGCTATTATTTCGAAAATATGCAGGTTTCCTCACGATGTTTTCCTTCACCACGGAGCACGTGATAAGTCAGCACTTAAAGTTAAAAACTTCAATACGTGAACTCAGATTGCTCGAGTATATTGAATTAAAGGCGAACGCCCGGACACTGAGCTATCACGGCTCATCTTTGTAGATATATGAACAAAAAATTGTTCCAGTCCTGAGATTAATCGAATGTGTCGAATATGGAGGACATTGTTTAGCACTTTAAGGATAAAGATATCTCAAATCGAATATCTAAATATTATTTTTCAACGAAAACAAGTGATAAGGTAATTTGTACAGCAGCAATTCGTAGTCAAAGTATTTTGCTGATCCTATCTGACCCGCATAATCCACTATACGTGGGTAAATTTTCGTGATCAGCATTTAGAATGGAAATAAGACATTTCTTTATCGGGGTAAATATATTGCATAGCACGGTTATAGTTTTCATTGCAATTAATCAGTCAACAATTTTATTGCGGTTTAAAAAAGCACGTAAAAATAAAACAATGCGATATAATTATGCAATGTTATATAATTTTCTAAATTTGCATTATACTTTCGTCGGTGACAAAAGAATTTCAATTACGATCATTTACGTTTTTTTTATTGTATTTGTCTATTTACTCATCACAATGAGCTTTTCTGCTCCATCCGTTGTCTGTCCCGACATTTTGTCAACGATCCAGTCCTTGAACGAATAAACTCGGGTATATACGTCTGGGTAGCCCCTGGCGCAGGGCATACCCCAGGATACGATACCCACTACCTTGCCATCTTCCACCAACGGCCCACCTGAGTCTCCCTAAAAATGAATAAAAATTTCACTTCACCAAGAATAATGCATTAGAAAATAGACAGAAAAACAGACACTGCATAAAATGAAGACGGAATTGTAATAGAAAAGAACGTCAAAAAGATATGTTAATAAAAACTTACATGACACGCGCCTTCGCCCCTTTTAGTGAGTGAACAAATCTGACTATCGTATACGGGGTTTATGTGTTCGTAAATTTTCTGACACTCCTCTACGCCCAAGGACACCAAATTAATCATTTGCAGCTGGACAGGCAAGACTCCTGGATACTGAAATTAATTTTGTAAAATTAATATTACGAAGAGAATTTATTAATTACAAAGTTTTAAAATGTATTTAGGCGAGTAGCCTTTATACCGTCTTACGATTCGTCAAGCCCATCCAGTACAGTAACAGGGGACCTCATATAACACCTGCTTGAATTGGAAGTATTATCCTTTTGAATTATTTGGGTGAGCAAAGTAAAAAAAACTACTCCTTTATAGGTCGGTCAACACATCTGCGAGTGTTGTAAGTATCTTAAGGCTGCGTCTATCTCTTAACATCAGTTCAGCTATCCATCCACTCGAATGCCATCTTCTGACATTAAAAAACCACCACTCCTTGCATGAGATAGTTTTCTTGATAAGTGAATAATTTTCAAAACGGCACTTAAAAATCTGAAATATACTTTAAATGGCCGAGTTCTAAATAAAATATTGACAATTTTATAGTAAAGAGTGTCAAACCACTAGACGCAGGTCGTGAATTTGCGAACTAGCGATTTTCTTAAAACCGATTCAAATGTAAAAACCAGGCCAACATATTACTATTAAGCAGAGTGCATTACTTTCTCTCGGCTGTCACTGGTATTATGATAATCCACCGAGCAGCCGTAGTACCGATTGGTGGTCGCATCTACAGTCATCACTGCAGCGCAGAAAGTGAAATCGTGATCGGGACGGGGGGAGACGGGATCCATCGGATCCATCACTAACTTAAGGATACTTACAGATAATCTTCCCCAGCCGCTGAGCAATAGGTCAGCTCCAGCGTTTGTGTTCTCCTGGGGCAGCTCGATGGGCTGAACTCGTTCACTGAACTCTATCTCCGTAGCCACCTTGACCAAGCTGACGTCGTTATAGATCAGAACCCCATCGTAATGCTCGTGAACCACAATTTTCTCCACGTTATACTGACCGCCGCCAGCCAGAAGACTATTGGTCCCGACGACCACGATCATAGTGCGATCTGTCTTTCTGTTACACAAAATAAAACAAGTCACTACCCCGATCCAAGCTGAAGTACCTACGAAAATTAATTTTACACTATAAACTCTTGTCTTTAGCTCTAGGGTAGGCAGCCAGTGCTGACTTTATAAAATTATATTTAAGTTAGTATTGTAACACCGCTATTTAAGTTAGTATTGTAACATCGCTATTTAAGTTAGTATTGTAACGCCGGTCTTCTGTGAGGTCGTGGTACTTCCCGGGACGGACCGGTCCATTAGTGCAATAGAAAACTGTTGCGTGGCCGTACCACAGTTCGGTTATATAATATGTAATTGATTTAATGTTTTGTTAAAAATTATTTAAAAAAGTTATACGTAAACATAATTACGAGTTTCTTTATCATAGCTGTGATCTCTAAAATACGGCACGGCAAATTACTTTATACAGCCGACCGAGTTTGTTGTCTAGACCGGTCTGCATGATTGAACCGGTGGAAGATTGGTAGATTTTGAAATCGTAGAAATTGGAAAATATTGAAGGATTTCACTTTAACTATCTTTTATTAGGTTCAATGTGTTTACGAGTAGCTCAAAAACTTAACAAAAGCAAACCTTCTTTGATGATGCCACTTGGAAATTGATCACGCGACACTATCAATAGTAAAACCCAAGATGAATTCAAATTCCCGTTTAACACGCCACCGTAATTTTACAAACTGTGCCAACCTACCAAAGTTGTCAAAACCTATCCCAGTTAAAAAGCACGGCACTAAATGTTTAATATGGTCTTCATAAGCCTTTTTCAAAATTCAATACTACTTACACAATAACCTAAGTACGTAAGACATTAGTAAGCACTTATATAAAAACAATATGAACTTACCCAACAGTACAGTGAGCCGCTGTGAGTATCCATCTGTCACTTAAAATAGTACCACCACAAAAGTGCGAATTTGACATACTCCTTAGCGAGGCCTGATACGGTATTGAACCCTCTGGGGCATTCTCGCCGCCTACGATCTTAGGGTTCGGCAGGTAAAAGTCATAGGCAGGTAGTATGTAACCTAGAATAATAATAATTAGTTTAATCTCCTTAAAACAATCAGATATATTGCTATAATTTACATTTCTCTTTCAGCTTGAAAATATATAAAGTCGTGCGTAAATTGCTAAACATTGAAGGGTAAGAACCGTACAAAACGATTATCAGCACGATAAACGTCAGTTAAGCTTAATTTACTATTTCAAATATTGTAACACTTCTTCAAACATATAAATCCTCATGATCCAATGAATAGACAACGTATTTTGACGATAATGATTCTGAATTCTGATATGTAGGTTCAAATTCCTACAACAAACACAAAACCATTTTTGGTTCATAATAATAATTGTTTTCCCAATTTTATATTATATTATAATACAATTTTATCCACTTACAGTTCACTAAAACTATCTGGTACATAAAACTTCTAAATTAATCTCAATTCACCAATACAAAACATGACAATTTAAATAATACCATGGTTTGTTATGAAGTTTTTCTTTTAAAATATATTTAAACTTACCCCGAATTCCAGACACAATAGAGAAAATTACGACCAAATTTAATTTCAACATTTTTATGAGATTTTCATACGCGTAAGGATCAATTAATGGAATGAAAGGGATTGCGGTCCAATAAGCAATGCTAAAGTAAGTTTAATGAAACCCTTTTATAACATCTAAAACCATAAGTGTCCACTTTAAGGATGTTTATCTGTGAAATGAAACACTTTACAGATCAAATACGCATGGAAATCACTTCAAAATATTGTTAATACACTACAAGATATGTTTGAACATAATCGGGACAATATTTGACTTCGGTGAAGTGAATTTCATAAATTTCTTACGTTAATCTATTTTGACATCACCATTAAGATGTAAAATAACACCGCAGCATTTTAGAATAGTGGATACTCTCAACTCACCCTGTCCCAATTGGGGATAGTAGCTAATATTTATGTATGTAGGTAGGTTCATTCACCTTACTAGGTCGGTTACCTCATATCCTTACTAATATCATAAACACGAAAGTTTGTATGGATGGATGTTTGTTACTCTTTCACGCAAATACTACTGAATGGATTTTAATGAAAATTTACAATAATATAGCTTATACATCAGAATAAGACATAGGCTATAATTTATATACATATTTTTATGTATATATATCTTTCTGTCTGAAAGTTACGCCTTCAGCCTATTCTACGCAAACGTAGTCGCGGGCAGCAGCTAGCAGAAAATGAAACTAATAAAGATAAATAAGTATGTTTCAGATATTTTTTGGTGCCTTGGTTACTTCTCCGGTTACTATGAAACCCCAGTAATTTGTCATTTATGAATTTTCAAAACAAAGTAAAGTAAAAGCCTATATACGTCCCACAGCTGGGCAAAGGCCTCTGTACAGTGACCCCAAAACGGATTAGAGGAATTCACATATCTTAAATTTCACTTATTCATAAAATATATAATCTTTGAATAGTCAGATATGGTCGCTTCTTATTTCTATACCTATTAATGTTCTAACTTTTTATAGTTTTAATAAAAAATAATGAAAACTCTCGTAGCAGCAAAAACATTTCGTCCATTTCAGTGCAATGAATTGCAGTAAAAAATTTATATAATTTAAACACTAAATATCAACAATAAGTCAAACAGTAGACTTACTAATAAAGAGTTTTTTATGGGAAAAGCATACAGAACCTTGTAATCTATTAACTAGAAATTATACAACTAAGCTTAATAATTCTTCCGTTGTCACTTTGTCAGTAAGAACTATGCCAAATAAGGACAATACATTATAATTTGTCTTTATTCCAACTTCATTTTTAATCTCCCGCATTAGGTAATAATTCATGTCTTCCACTAACATGAAGTAAACCAACACGTCAGGAAATGGAATGGAAATGTCAGATTTTGCTGCGTAAAATAAGTTTTTTTGTATTTCGAGGAAGTCATTTATAATTATTTTCGTCGTTGCAGATTTAATTGTTAATTTACAGATAGGTTCTATAAAACAACCCTATGGCTAAAGCCTCCTAGAATAGGACTAAGGCATCACTAGAGCCGTACTAATGGTGACCACTGAGGGAATTTAAGGAGGTAAGAAAACACACTTAATCCTGTCTACCCCATGAGACGGGTGTCCGTTTAAGACCCATATAACAAAAGAAGGCTCGAACAATGTTTATAACAAATGCAACAAATTCTAAAATCTTTGCCCGCCGTTGTACACGCTTATACATATTCTAAGGCTACGGCACTCGACTCGACTAAAATTGTTGTAATACAAATAAACAAGTACACAACATTGACATACAAAGCCAAATTAAAAATATATAAATACCGGATCGTTATCGATGCTATTGATTTTAAATCAAGATGTCTGTTGTTGTGTTTTATCGTAAATCAAGTGTTTCGGTTGAGTGTTACACGTTCATCGTTCTCTGTTATAATCGATAACCACTCGGTGGTAATTATTGCGTCGGATTTGCTATTATTATTTGGGGGGATATTCATTTGTTTTCTCATCTGGTTGTGTTTATAAATAAAAATAAAAATATAGATATATATTGCATATATAAAATAAATATTATGGAAAAAAAAAATAAAATAAATAAAAACATATAAATATTGTATATAAAACATATATAAATAGGACCCCAACCAGACGGAAGCCCTCGGCAGGGGAGACCAAACGGCTGAGGGTTAGGGCGAAAGGGAGAGAAACCGGCGGATGATGCGGGCGGTATCGAGGAGCACCGCCATCTGCATTTGAGCTTGGAGCGATCCGTCCCGGAGTCCCAGTCACCTCACATGTTTAGAGAGGCTGACTGGGATTAACCCATTGGCAGAAACGACTATCGGGATAATTTCGGTCGGCACACCACCCCACATGTCGGTCACCTCGTGAGCCAGGTCCAGATACTTTGTCTTCTTATCTGTTTCGGCTTTCTCGAGGTTTTCGTCATATGGAATGGTAATGTCGACCAAAAATACCCGCGACTGTGCCCGGTCCATCACCACGATATCAAGTTTGTTCGCGACAATCGTCCTGTCCGTGATGATGGGCCGGTCCCAATAGAGCCTGGCGCGGTCATTTTCGAGCACGGCTTCCGGATAGTACTTTTAATACAGTCTATGCAGATACTCAGAGTTAGAAAGGATGGAACAACCGGAGATAACATGCCGAAGCGACTCCCCGGGATGGCGATAAGCTCGACAGATGTCGATGGTGCCCCTCCTTTAGGATGTATCTCCTATAGTTGTTCGTCTTAATAACCTGATCCTGTATCGCACAGACAAAACCTTCGGTTTCCCCAAAGAGGTCACCGAAACGCAGCCAGTTAAGGGAGGCAACAATATCTACGAAAGGCTCGTGTAGAGCCTTGTAGAACCTCCCATGGAGCTCTTTCTCCTTCCATACGGTCTCACGGTCGGAAACGCTCAGTACTCCCGTCATTGCTCGTTGGCTAAGGATAGAGGGATAAGTCCTTTATCACAACTAATGACGTCCGTGTAGATTGACTCATCCGATATCGCCAGAAAGTAGTTACGGAGGCTGCACACCACGCGATTGTGCATGGTGAGGGCGCTTAAAAAGCCCCTACCGCCATGCTTCCGCGGCAGGAACAGCCTCATTTTGAGATCAGTTGGAGTCCACCTGAGTATGCCAAAGGTATACATGAGGACTGGCATGACCCAGCCGTTAAATGCGCGCGCTTTGTTCACGCCTGACAAATGGCTGTTAAACACCTTTGTCAGACGTGCAAAAAACACGTCACGAACTGACTGTTTCAAGCCAGCCTCATCGATACACATATTTTGTGACATACCCAGGTATCGGTATGTATCAGCCGTCAGAGAGGGTCCTTATGTTAACGGGCATAGATAAATCTATGCCCTCCGCATTAGCGACCTTACCCCTTTCGACATGGAGGACCGCTATTATTATTATTATTGTGTCAGTATGATCTTGCAAATTCATCGATATTTTTATGACTTTTGAGTATGTAATTTAAAGCCGAATTGTAAAATAAATAAAATTAACAGCCTATACAATACATGTCCTACCGCTGGAGAAAAGCCTCCTCTGCACAGAGCAGTCATAGTCCACCACGCAACCCCACTGCAGATTTCCTCACGATGTTTCCCTTCAGCCCTGAGCACGTGATAAGTCAGCGCTTAAAGTAACGACATCATTGGGATTTGAACTCCGGTTCCTGAGTATATTGAATTAAAAGCGAGTGCCTGGACACTAAGCTATCACAGCTCTAAGCTAAGCCGAGAAGAGTAAAATCGGCTATTTAGATTTCAAAACATTTTTGGAGCCGATAGTAATTTTTCTTGTGTCATGTCGATCTGATGAAAAAATACTTAAACAAAAATACACTTAATCAGCTTAGTTTAAGTCTCGGAAACTGTGACAAAATTTTTCGTATAATCGCTTTAAAAAAATCGTCCACTAAAAATTTTTAAAACAATATAAAAAAGCATGATAACAAAGTACAATAGTAGTACAGTATTTCTAAATTATCAATTAAAGTTAGATTGGTTTTAGGCATTATACCACGCCTTTATTTGACCCAAAATAAGGGTAAGGGTACGTAGTGTAAGCATGCTTGAAGCCGGGCGTACCAACGTGATGTTGCAGTTGCTGTCCAGTCCAAACAGTTTGTTATCCGAAGGTTGTGGCAACCAACTCACTGGGAACACGACTGAACGAGATTCTTTTTAGGAACATTGCCCCGCAGTCGTTTTTGGCTACTTGCCAATGTTGTTGGCGGTAGGGGAGGCTACGATCGCAACACCGGGTGGCTGTCACCACCCAAACTGTCAGGAGGGCACGAGGTTTGTTTACATTCTCGCAGGCCGTGCACGTGTGAGGCGTGTTTCTGGACGTCATGAACGGCTGCGTTGTCCTCAGGAATTTTATCCCCATCAAGGCGAGATAATCACGCATTGGGCCCTAATTCGCTTAGGAAGGAGAATTGACCTCGTTTTGATAGGGGGTTTCTTACGCCAGTTTTTTCATTCGTAGTAAATCTTTTTTCTCTTTTTATATTGTTGAATCATATCTATTTTTGATACAAACTTAAAATTATACTTCTATCCATATAACATTGTTTATATCAACTATCTAAACATTTTAAGTTAACTTCAAAAAAATTTTTGTCTTAGACAATTTTGACTAGAGTAGTTTATGCGACCGATGCGGTTAAAATAAGAATAGCCTGTATATCGGTCGATAGTCTAGAGCCTGTGAAAGGACATAGGCTATTTTCCTTTACTCTATCTGTATTCCAGAACATTTTAAAACAAAATGGCGACGAGAATATAATCGTAAAGTTAAGTCGCCCAGAAAATGTTGCGTGGGAATGAATTGGAACGAATAGTTGCACTGTTTAAGTAAACGACCGGTCCGTTATACTGTAATAAGTCGCTTGGAGTCTCCATCCGATACTTGCCAGCAACGCGGCTTCACTCGCTTTTTACTTAAATTTATGGAATTAAGTTAATACAGTTAATACAGTTCATGGAATTTTAATCCCATTTGTAGAATATGTAAAGCTTTT